AAACATAACAAACAAAGGCCCTCTATTGGGTTGAAAAAAAAAAAAAAAAAAAAAAAATTATCTTCATTAATCATTTTCAGGCATTTAATAATTGAATTTTTTAAATAGAAAAGATTTTATCGGGTGTTATGTGTTTTTATATATTTTATTTTTATATATTATATACATTACATATTATCTGAGAAATGTGATTCTTCTCTGACGAAGGAAGAGAAGGAGAAATAAAGCCGTGCGATGGGAAAACCGAGAGAACAAGAAGACGCGGAATCAACTTGCACGCTCGCATTTGCTGAGATTGCCAGGAGAAGACGCGTTAAGCGATCCTACGCACTTAAGTTAATTGCATGAGTTACGCTGACAACGCGATATTGATATTACGGGATAATGTGCGAGCACGTGGACTGCTTTGCTAAGCAGCAGCGACACCGCAAATTTAGATAGTTTGACGTTTTCCCCTGCTTCATTCATTAATGATAATCAGCCTGTCTTCTAAAATTTGCAAAAATTCGTTTATTGATAAAATAAAATAATAAATCCATAATTTAAATTTTGCCTTATATTTGAAAGTACATAGTTACAGGAAAAATAATTACCTTTTTAATGTGAAGAATTAAGTTTTTTATATCTTTATTTTTCATGATCTGTTTTCTTTTATTTAATAGTAAAACGAGTTTTACGCGATAAGAATGGATATATTATATGCATACTAGAAAAAGAAAATTACTTTGGTCATTCTTATATTCCATCGCATTTTTTCAAATCTTCTCTGCCACGATATTTAAGTAGAACGACATCGCGCTTCGCAGTAACGTAATGGCGACATTGAGATTATGCAGCAGCGGTTATATCATTGCGCATAAGTAACGAAATAGCCTTGAGACACCGCCGAGCTTTTAGAACTTAAAAAGTCTCTCAAATCATGTTTATCACACCGTATGAATTCTTGCATTTGTACGAATCAATTATGCCATAGATAAAAATAGTTTTATAAAATCATATGATTTTAATATATTTCTAAAACTGCACATATCTTTATGATGTGTTAAAGCAAAATTCAAGCAAAATTTAATTGCCGAATATAATTCTTTTGATTATTCAATCAATTCTCACTCGTCAAGTGCAAGTTAATTCCTAAGTCTTAGAAAAAAAAAAAAGCGTCGTATTCCGGGACAAACGATAAGGCGTTATAAGCTGCAGAACAGAAACGAGGTATGTGCAGGGAGATCACGGATAAGCGAGGGGGGGGGGGGGGGGGAGGAGAACGCGGGAAGAAGAACGAGAAACGATGCCGGGACGAGAGTACGGTGTTACGAAGATTCCCTGAAAGCCTGGCCGGGTCCTAGAGTGCGTCGTTGACACAAGCGCGGAACTTTCATCTACAAGGCAAATGTGTGGAAGCACGATTCCGTTTTCGTCCTCTTCCACGTTATTCAAATAGAGCGCGGCCTTCGTAACTCACTGGCGTAGTCGCGGGATTATCGCGATATTAAATCTCCTCGCTATCGAAAAATCTTTGATGAGATATCTGATGAAATTTTAAATAAGAAAAGCGATCTCCTTGCACACGAGCAGATTCGCTCATGCGATAAATAATTTATCTGTCAAAAGTGAATATCGATCATCAATTATATATTTATATTTTTAGAATATGTAATTGTGTGTGTTAAAGAATGAGAGTAATATATTTGTTAGATATTTTATAAACTTCATAAAATATTTAAGATTTAAAAAAGAGAATTCTACGAATTCGAAAAATATAAAAATGCAATTAAATAATAATGTTTATTTTTATATGACCGGGAAAATAAGAAATATAAAAAATATAATGCTTGTTTATAATTTTCATGGCTGCTTTTCTAAATCGACAAGCTCTGCGCCGTTGGCCGCAATCAGTGTGTTCTTCCTCTTCAGCAATCCCTGTCCTCGTTTCCGATTTTTTTTAACGGTATAACAAAGCCCTTTTTAATCAATTTTTATCGCGACCCTCGCAACAAGATCCGTTGCAGATATTTTATTTTCATCCTGGATAAATGCAATTTATCAAGTTGCATAATATTACGTTTTCTGTTAGTGCGCAGCATGTATTTCCCAATTACATATCTTTGCTACGACATTCATCCTTAATAAAGTAATTTTCGAGCATGAAATTAGAAATATTAAACTCGGCGAAACTCTTTCAAGAGCTTCTATTTTTCGCGATGTTTACATGTTCTCAGGATAAATAAAATTTCATAAATCTCGATTCGATCATGGCTTAAGTACTAAACCGTTTCTGGTGAAATCCTTATTTAAATCGATTTAAGATTTTGTCGGAATTACAGATCTTAAAATAGAATTAGTCTACATATCGAATTTTTTACAAAAAATTTTCTAACCAGTATCTTTACAATATTTATGTTTCAGATATGCAAAGATTCGTACAAATGCAATTGTGCCGGAATAAAAGGGTCGCCAGGATTTCCTGGAATATCTGGGCCTCAAGGAACAGAAGGCCTCCCGGGTGACATCGGACCTGACGGACCTCCCGGACCCAAAGGCGAGAAGGGAGCGGGAGGAGAACCTGGAGGTACCGGGGAGAAGGGGCATCGAGTGAGTAAATTAATTTTTTATCATGATATAATTTACAATATAAGTCTATTAGTTTTACAGTAGTATAAGTTCATCGCTGATAATATAAAATAGATAAAAAGCGTCAAAATATGCGATTTGATTTTTAAAAAATTATCTTGAAATTTTTTATTTTTAGATCTTTTATATTTTATATTATTTGCCAAAAGTATTTGCATGAAACGCGACTCATTTCATATTTCCATGTTAAAAGATTTAAGTAAATCGTTATATTCAAAATCTTTCCTAAAAAAACGTAATGAACGACTTATATAACTTTCTTAGAAATTTACGATCTAATATGATCGTACGAGTTATTAAAATAATTCACTGAGAGAGATTTATCAAATATTAATTTTTTTTGCAAAATTTTTTTTTTTAACACGTATGCAAGAATTTTATCCATATATTTTGAACATATATGCGTGTAACTGCCGACTAAACCAATTACAACGGTAATTAGTTCCTTTACAAAAGCGACGGCTTTACATTTTAATTAAAGTTCGCGACACGACACGTGGATTTGTTAGACACGATAACCGTTTTAATAAAGTAATAATCGATTTCATGGATATATACCAATGTGAATATCTACAAAAAGAATCTCATTTTAACAATTCACATATATATAGCACACCAATGAGGAATATATGTGCTGAAAAGTTTAACTTTAGAAAATTTAAATTTTACTTTATCATGCTAATAAATTAATTAAAACTCACTATGAACAAAATATCGTGATGCAAGCGCACAAGAATGAACATTTTATTTTTTATAATAATTCTCTTTTGCGAGGGAAAGGGTATTAAAAACTTGCTACAAGAATTACTCACGCGATTCTAAAAGACTATCGCTACTACGTTAATCTCATCATTAAGAATATAACAAATTATTACCATAAAAGTCTGAAACCACTGTTGTATTACTCTATAATCTCGGCTGCCGTTATTAATCCCCAATAAGATTTTTTTCCTTCTCGTAATTAAAATTATTAAACGATTTTTTGCAATTGCAATTTTGTCACAATCATAAAGCACATAAATTTTTTCGTTGAGCAAGCTTTATTTATTAGAAAAAAAAGCTTTGAATTTTGTATCAGATAAAATAGCAATATGAATTTATTCCCAAGAAGTTTGACATATGTCAAATTTTGTGTGTTTATTTTATTTTATTATTATTATTATTATTTTATTTTATTATTTTATTGAAATTACAGAAATGTAGAAGATTTCTCTTTTTCGAAATCTATAAAGATACTAATTAGATCTAATATTACGTAGTTTCATAAACTTTATTTACATTTTTAAAATTTGTCAAATAACTGGTATCCTACAATATTATATTCTGGCCAACAATCGATTGTGACTCAGAAATCAGAAATGTTAAACGACTTAAATAACTCACAAACTAGAGTATCTCTAAAATTACACGCGCGATTATTAAAGATGAGGAAAAAAAAAATATCTCTTTAATTGGGTCGCCGAGAACGAAAGGATTGAAAAAGCGCTGATGAGAGCGGCAGACGTCGTTATTCGTTATTCGCATTCTCGATCCCCTATCCGAACGACGATTGTTCGCCGCAACATATGCTCGAATGGGACGCAAAAAAAAAAAAAAAAAAAAAGAAAAAGAAAAAAAAAAAAGGTCCTTTTTGATATGCAATCCTGATGAAAAAAATCTCCGCGCAAATTGGCGATTGTTTGCAGATTAAAAAGTACGGTGCATTTAAAAAAAAAAAAAAGAAGTAGAAGAAAAGAAAAAAACAAGATGAGAAAGAAACGTGGCGTCACCGGCCAGAAACAGAACGCTTCCAAATGCGGAGGAAGAGGGAAAGATCGCGAACGCGGGCCAAGGAATTACAGACGGACACCCACGATGACCGCCCTCACTACCGAGAATTGTTACACACGCAGCGAGAAGCGTGTCCGCCGTTTCGCAATTTGTCGGCCAACATCGATGTGCGACATCGTGCGATATGATACGAGGCGGAGATAACCGGTGGAATCGCTCCGGCTGAAGATGTCATGCGCGGTCGACATGCGACAATTCCGGTTATCCTAATTAAATGAAAACACGCATATGTTCACCTAAATTTTGCTTGAACAAATTTTCTAGGCATATTCTTTGCGTGTCCGCGTCTTTAATTGCAATTTATTCATCAAGTACCAAAGATGCAAGATAAATGAGTACGTGTTTGCCGATGACGTAATTTTATAAATTAAATCTGGATTTATAGAGAAATAAATTTAATTCAGTTTTATTTAATATATAATTTTCAATTAATATATAATTAAATTTTAAATAACTAATAAACTATAAATTACTTAAAATATATAATATATCCAATTTTTATTTAAACCATCTTTCACGCGCGCGCGTGTTCCATTTAAAAAGCTTTTATTTTTTTATTCGCTCTCAATCAATCGTTTCTAAACTGTCAATACGAAACTCATCATTTGAATTTCAGGAAAAAATTTACCGCGCGATTGACAACCAAGCAGCATTTAAAATTCATACGAATGATAAAAATATTTAGTAGAATAGATATATAATAGATATATATATAAATAATACCTTTTTTTACAACTGTATTTTTATCTTACATATTGTAACTTGTATATGAAGCATAGATTGCAAAAACAGATGGATAAAAATGATTTGGTGAAATTTACGATTTTGCAAAAAACTTACTATTCAACGCATTAGGATAATAAAATTAAATCGCGGTGAAAATGTATTATCGTATATTATCGCGTTGTCGTATATAGGATAATTTAGCGTCGCAATTGCCGAAATGTCACGAATAAATGAAACGTTACAACCGCGTGTGGTACGACAAGAGTGTTGGTACTTATACTGACGTAGTCGCACCGACACATCTCGCGCTTATTAATCGCGCGAGGGCGCAAATTATTCATTTGCGTGCGGACTGTGAAATAGGACGGTGTCAATCTTTGTAACTGAAACTTTGAATTAAATCCTCTACATGAAGATTCAAATTGGATGGTTTATACGTATTCTTCATTACATATTTCGTTCACTCGTCTTCATCGATTGATTGCGAAAAATTAATTAGCTGCTTGAGAATGGAATTTTTTAACTAAAAAAAATTAAATTCTTTTTTTTATTAAAAATTTAAGATTAAAAATAACAGTATTTTTTCAATTAAGTCTCAGAGTTAAACGAATAATAAAATCTTATTCTTTATAAATAAAACAATTAAAATCGCAAGCATGGAGAGAAATTGACAACTTTTTAATTTCAATTTAGCAATATTGAAAAATTAGGAAAAATATATAAATAATTAATATTGAAAAATTAGGAAAAATTACTGGTGATATCGGACTTTTTTTTTTTTTTTTCATTTTAATAATACATTATTGGAAATATAAATTGCGAGTTGGATGCCTTTTATTTTGCAATATTAATTATTTTTTAATCGTTTCAAAGTTTGATGAAGAAGGATAATTTTTGTCGCGAACAAACGCCAGGTCTTGATCTATTTTGCTTTCGTGCGGTTCTTAATCATTTAACTGAAGAAGAAGTTTCAAGAGAAAAACAGTAAATGGAAGACGCTTGTCGCATTTTCTTGGCACATCAGACACTCCACTTTTCATCCGTTGAGGAAACTTTCGATCGTAACAAACAGGAAGAAGCCGCTATATTGCCATAAATTCATTAAGTGAGAACGAAAATTCTGGTTATTACTACGGACCATCGTGTTGCCGCATGTGCCACAATTTGCCAATTATACGCAGCGCGTCGCACGTTCTCATTTGCGGCGTGCATCGCTTGCTAATTGTGTTACATCGATCGTTCGACCATGATGCCGTTAACTTGCATCTTCGATTAATGAAAAGCAATTGAACTCTCCGTATAATAGGATCTGAAGGAAATTTTAATTCGAAGATTACTTCCGGAAAAATTCAAAATTGAATGTCAAAAAGATAAAACATGAATTAAATGAGTTAATGAAAAGAAGCGCGAGAAGCCTCTGACATTTTCCCTCAATAAAAAATCAGTGAGAAAAATGCAAAAATACAAGACACTGACATGCGGAATCCACGACAAAATCCATCAAAAAAAAAAAAAAAAAAAACGACTGATGATTAAGACAGATAGTCTGAAATTTTTTTTTAGACACCCTGAAAATACATACAAAAATGTGTCAGAATTGTCAGAAAATATTTTACAGTGTATGACCTCGAATTTAAATTGCATCTTACAAATTATAGACTTACCTTACTTTTCCGCCAAAAAGTTTTAACCCGATCAAAGGGGCCGGGCATTTAAAAGGTGCGAGGCATGACGAATTATGCATTCTGTTACCGTAATGAACGACGCTTCGATTCGGGACCGTGTTCACCCTTTCTTCCTCTTCATCTTTCTCTTTTTTCTACCTCGACGAGTCCTTTGCCGCTTCCTCGTTTCTCTTTTTTTGCCTCGGCATGTACGTACGCGCGGATTACATCAGGCGCGCCTCTCGCCTCTGAAAGGGAAGATGACGTCACAACCCTTTCTGGCCGGCCAGAGAGAAGAGAAGTGTACCGTACGATCTCTTGAATTGCAGCTGCGACTCGCCACTGTCGGCTTGATTTACGAGGTCTTTACGGATTTTTGTTTAAAAAAAAAAAAAATTATTTCCTTCTCTCTCCCATTTATCGGACCCCCTGAGATTTTTAATGCCGTCGTCTATACGGGGATCCGCTCCTCGTCTTAAGCCACTTTGTCGCGGAATGAGGACATTGATGGACTCTGGGATTAGAGGGAATCCCCTGTAGGTTTAAGGAGATTGCACTTCGAGATCGTACGTGCGATCGGAGAGAGTTTCGGGAGAGAGTTTCTCCGGGACGAAGTCGAGTGGCGATTGTATCTTAAACCTAAACTCTCGGCGAACACGGGAAGTTAAAATTGTATCGCAAAAGGACAACTGCAGGATCTAGAAAAAAAGTTTTTATAAAATTTACTTATGAATTTTTTTC